AAGCTGAGGAAAAGGTGTAAGCATCTATTATTCGAGATGTTCCTCTAACCACATTCACGTTTTGTTCTTAGTATGTTTCTTGTTAAAGTTCTTAGAAAGTCTGCTTTATGCATGTGGTGGCTCAACGCAGTTTCCAGCACTTAGATTTTGATATCATTATAACCACTCTTTATCATTTGATGCAACAATAATGGTTTTACAAAACTGTCCAATCATTGGTGAACACGTTGTTTTTATTTTTGTGACACAATAGGTTACCATAACAACAGTATGACCTACTAAATACACCCTCAATTACAGCTTTAGGGGCTCATAATTTAAAAACGGCACGGTGAAATTTTTTTTATGTCACCAAAATTTAATAAGCATGATAAGACTCAACTTTTGGCAAAGTTTTAAAAAATTCTGCACGTAGGGTTCAGAGCCGCCTTAAATTTTCAAAACTTTAAGGTGGCTCAGAACCCTATGTAAAGATGTTTTTTAAAACTTTGCCAAAAGTTGACTCTTTTCATGCTTATTTAAATTTGATAATAAGAAAAAAAACTCACCGTACCATTTTTGAATTATAAGCCCCTGAAGCTGTAATTAAGNACTTGTGCCATTGATAAGCGATTTAAGTCGATTTTTATAGGCATTCACTCTTAAGGATGTTTTTAGCAGGTCCTACTGTTGTTATGGTAACATATTGTGCCACGAAAATGATAACAACCTGTTAACCAATGATTGGGCAGGTTTTTGATACCATGTTTGTAGCAGCAAGTGATGAAGAGCGGTTATAATGACCCATCAAAATCTAAGGGCTGGAAACTGTTTTGAGCCACCTTAAATAATACATTACCGTAAAATCCCACGTTGAAGCCCTGGGCTTATATAACTTCATAAGGGGTTTTGATTGGGCTTATAAACAGGGGGACTTATATCCGAGGGGAAAATATAAGCGGAATAAAAAAATGTTTCGGAACGACGAGATAAAACGTCTCTGAAAGACGAAGTAAAGCTAACATACTCATTTAGGACTGACTCCTAAATCTAAGTTTTTACTAAGTTTGTGGCTTTGTAGTTTGCATAGTCCTTTCCGATAGCCTTAACAACCTAATAACGCAGAGATAAAAAAAAAAAGACGAATTATTTGCTGTGTTTGACGACTCCGTGCCAGCTTCGAGGCAGTTTCCCTTTTGTTTTTCAGCGGTATGTTAATTCTTAGCGTTGTGAGATCTTAACGTGACAGCTGGACGTGGTCTTTGAGAATGTATGAGATGAAACTTTTCGCCAACGGTGTACTCACCCATGGACGGTATTTTTTCTATTAATCGACTAAGTTAAGTT